AGTGAAACAAGCCAAGCAGAGAAAGACAAATATCACACAATCTCACTTATTTGTGGAATATAATGAATTAAACAAGCTGATGAACAAAATAGACCCAGAGTCATAGAAGTAGGGTACAGACTGACAACCCTCAGAAAGGGGGGAGAGATAAACCACAGAACTTATATGCACGCATGCATGACCGATGGACATAGACAACAAAGCTGGGGATGGGGTGGCAGGATGGGGAGGAGGGTGTCAATGAGGGGAAAAAGGAGAAACATCTGTAGCAAAAATAAATTAATAAAAATAAATAAATAAATAAATGAAAGCGTAAGGGAATAAAATAAGGCACCTACATAACCATCCTTTCTAAAACGAGCCGCTCCCACCAGACACAAAGCATGGCCATCTGGTCTACAAGCAGAGCAGCTCTCGGAGGCTCTGGATATGGATTTCTCCCCAACAGAACGCACTGAGGCCTTCTCGAGGCCAAGGAAACGCCCTGCTGGTCTGCGCAGCACCACTGCTTATTATAGAGCAGGAGACAAAGTGCAGGCTCGGCAAATGTGTCAAATACAGGTTTTCGTAAAAGACCTTTTTTTAAGAGTCCCGTAAGAAAGCTGAGTTATATTTTACAGGCACGTGGCTTGTCCATCTACCTCCTTCCACATCAGAGCACTGGGGGACTAGGATGGCCAGAGCTGGATGGGCTATTTAAAGTGCACTAAATGATAACTACACACCAAATACGAACACCAAACAAACGAAAGAGTAACAATGACATATGTTAGTTCGAAAGCAATATAATTCTATTTAGCATCAAAAAAAGAACATTTGTTTTCAAACATATGCATGTATATGTAGATATAAAACAGCTAGAATTATTTCATGTACTTCATGCCTGGTAATTTGAGTATTTTAGTTCTTACAGTTTCTAAGACTGTCTGGCAAAAGAAAATATCTTTAACAATGACTTCTACTGACTGACATACAAAAGCAAGAATAAAAGACATTTTTGAGATATCTGAATTCCTGTGTTACTGAGCGGCAATAAGCAGAGTAATTATGAGACTGATTCTAGATAACAGCATGTGTATCCTGGAGTGAGGGGTTGGTTTCTAAAAAATGAACTATCAGAACCATTATGCTTCAGAGTAAAAATAATATACTAATAACTATTATCTCTAGAACGCTAAATCATAATGTTTAGATGAGTCAACTTCATATAAGATATTTAGCTGAATATGGTATTGAATTAAAGCTTGTTCTATATTTCATCCAATATTTCAGTAGCATAATATATGTTATATCACTACTCTTTTCACAGAATTTTGCAATGTGAATTGGACATATCCATAATAATAAGTTGGAGTCATGGAAAATAACTACTTTTGTTCCCTTCCCGCTCTAGTCTAAACAAGGCTGTGCAGGATTCTAATGAAGTCTGCTCTAAAAAGGACTAAAGAAAAAATTCATCTCAGCTCTAAATGGTAATTATTACAAAAGACCCAAGGAAACAAATAGCACAATACTTGAGACCAACTACCTCGGCACCATTCTGGCCTGGGGTATGTAACTTTGCTGCTGAACCTCAAGTACTTTCACAACTGGCATTTCTTATAGCCCAATTAACGTTGGCTAGACACAGAAATCTGGCTTAGTGTTTCCATACAACAGTCACAGAAAAGGTATTCTGTATCAAAAATTACTGTCAGAGTCTCCCATATCCTTCTTTCTCTCTTACTAACCTAAATCTGGTAGTAAAATAAGCTATCGGTCAAATAGCTTTTACTACAATATAAGTCAATATTAATTTTGCTGGCTCACAAAAACTGCAAAATATTTGGCTTACATAAATTGAACAGGACAAAAAAAATCAAAGTAAGGATGTATACATAATTATGGAACACACACAGCTTTAGAAACAACTACATCTGAAATGCCATTAATAATGGAAATGTCATTCCTTCCTTTCTCTCCTAATACATGTCCCATTTTAAATCCGTGGCATGGGCCCTGGGTAACAAAGTTCAAACAAGAAATAAATCACAATTTTAAGGAGTGCTCCTGGGCAGTATTTTAATTGTACATGGTGTTGGTATGGAAGGTCCAGATATTTTAAAGAGAAGTCACCCAGGCCCAACTATATTGAAACATGGAGGCTACCAGAAACCCTAAGGCAGAAATATTCCCTAGAGTACCTGGGAAAATTTGTATTTGGTTATAATGTAGAACCTAGAAATGCCAATAGCCAAAAAACAGAAGTCATGACCTATGATGTTTAATAATAAAAATGTGTTTAACCACTCAAACCAAACTAGTATATAGAGGTAATATCTAAAAATTAGTTATAAAGATGGGGGACAGAAAAAGTACTGGCTTACTTTTAGTATCTCCTACCAGGTATAACAAGGAGAAAAAAACTCCTCACACAAAATTATGTAATATAGAGTGAAAATTAATGATGCTCAATTCAGAAAACCTTGAGGTTGTATCTAATTCTATTACTTAGTAGCTAAGTTATTCTTGGGGATGTGACTTAAATCTTTAAAGCTCAGTTTCCTTATGTATAAAAAGAGGATTTATTTTATATTATTTTATTTTATTTTATCCTCACCCAAGAATATTTTTCCATTTCTGTTCAGATAGAGTGGGAGGGAAAGAAGAAGAAGGGAGAGAGGAAAACATCTATGCAAGAGAGACACATCAATAGGCTGCCTCCTGCATGACCCCAACCAGGGCTTGGGATGAACCACAACTGAGGTACATGCCCTTGACTGGAAACAAACCCGCAACTCCTTGGTCCATGGGCCAACACTCTAACCAGCCAGGGCAGGATAATATTCATTCTAAAGATTCACAAAATAACACATGTCAAGCACAGGTGCTCAGGAGATATGCACCCTCTTGTGCTGGTCTCTGCTTCTAGAGTCTTGGAAGATTACCCTGTGTCCAATCTACGATCATGCCATTCTCATTCACTTATTCAGCACGTATCACTGGGAACTGGGGCAATGCCTAGCATAGAGTAATAAGTCTCAATTCATGTTTTGACCAAATGAAAGGAATAATGAGGAAATAAGATTCAGGCTAAGGAGACAAAAATAGTAAAAAGTTATGCACCCAGCCTTTAAATAATTTCTAAAGAGAAATGCACAAGGAGGTTTTAGGGTTAGCATATAGGGAAATGCCAAATATTGAAGAGATAAAAAGATAAGACCTGGTTCCTACCCCATGTCTAAGATCAAAAGGCAGACATAGGTTTATTTCTGGTCTGCAATCTGGGAAGAAGCACTATTACAGAGGTACTGAGACCACGCTATGGGAGTACAGAGAAAGGAAAAAAAAACAACAGCTTGAAAGACTCAGGCAAGACTTCACAGAGGAAATAAAATTTGAGCAGGCAGAGAGAGAAAAAAGGACCTTTTTGGTTAGAGGAATAAAAAAGGATTTGATCTATGAAATTGTCAAAACATTCTGGGAAATGCCAAATCATTTTGAACTATTCTGCATACTGTAAATACTACACAAATTCTTAAAGAAAAATTTGTACCAAAAAATGTATTAAGTAAATCATTCCACTGGCTACAACAGAGGCATCCATAATCTGTTTTTTAGTTGTCTTATAAAAATTTAATTTTTATATGAAATCCTACTCCACAGTCTGTCTAATAGAGTAGAATATCATTTTTACATATTTGCCTTTGGTCAGTTATGACAAAACAATAAAAAACACCATTCCATTTTTATTTCTCTTCTCTTGAGACTAATAGACAATTCCATTTTACAATATCTAATATACAAGCATTCAGAAGTCAAAATGTGTGGCATTTTTCACCTTGCCAATTTCATGTTAAGTCAAGGGCCAATTACCAGACTAAGAAACCAAAGTTAGACAAAAGCAATCCATTGGGATCAGAAATGTGCCAAATCTCATAATTCAAAAAGAAACTGTTAAAGATGGTTGTGAGGTTTTGGCACTGAGAGTTCAAGTCATTCCATAATAGGGTTTGTATTTCATCTAATCAGCAAATCGGAAACTATACAAGTTTTGGTGGTGTGGGGGAATTAAAATTTGGATTATAATACATAAGTCTTTCCTTCCCGTCCATATGTTTCAGTGAGTTAAAACTTCTAAAGCTTGTTTTTTTTAAATGTCTTATAAAAAATAAAGCAGACTGTAAAATCATATTTTTGGTATAGGAAACTTAAAATATTAAGCCTAGAAAAGAAAAGGGGGGGGGAGCACAAAGTTTCTACAGACAAAGTAGTGTCTGAGTCTAGGTATATTCAGAAGTAAGTACATTTAAGCCTTCAATTTTTTTTTTCCTTAAGTAATTTTTTTCTTAGTTTTTTTTTTTTTTTTAAGTCAGGCATCTGAAACTTGTATAGATGTTTTTCAAAAGTGTTCATTTATTAATCTAATAAAAAATGATCCCAGCCCAGCTGGTATTGCTCAATGGTTGAGCGCTGACCCACGCACCAAGAGGTCACCAGTTTGATTCCCAGACAGGGCACATGCCCAGGTTGTGGGCTCAATCCCCATTGGGGGGCATGCAGGAGGCAGCCAACTGCTGTTCTTGCTCATCGATGTTTCTGTCTCTCTCTCCCTCTCTTCCTCTCTCTAAAAATCAATAAAGAAAAAAAAATTTAAAAGAATCAGACTTACTTCTACATTGCATTTTGCAGTTAACCTTGGCTTATAGAACATAATCTTTACACAAATATTGTTATCATGACAAATGTATTATGTAATCACATACTGGAGGTTCTCCATGCATATGTGTTCATTAAGTTACATCAAGGATCATGCCATATCACATTTCATCTACAGCAAACCCCACAGTCAAAGAAATACTTTTTTCCATGTTTTCTATGCACGGTTCTAACTTAGTATCGCCATCATTATGTCCTAAAAACCTGAGTTAACTGGCTAAGAACCAGTACTTCACACCACATCTACCCCAGTCTGCATGGAGGAAACCAGTTTCTAACAGGTGAGGAAGGTAGGTACTCACTGTCAGAGCTAGTAGTTTCCCATAGGTGAGGTGGGCAGGAATGTGGTCAGTCTTGGACCTCAGTGATTCCATATACCAATGCTCTGCCTCGGGGAGCTTGCTTAACCGCATGTACGCCTCACCTGGAAAATGAATTGGGAAAATCAAACAGCTTTGCATCAGCATAGCATCATGACACATAGCCCATGAAATTTCAAGTATGTCTGCCCGCTATCTCATTTGATTCCCCAGAAGTCATCCTAATTCCATTTTACAGATGAGAAAACGTGCTTGGAGAAATTAAGTGAAGTGGCTAAAATGAAAAGTTTAGTAAGTGGTAAAACTTTCATTTTTAACCTAGGAACACCTGACTCCCAAGAATATGTACTTTGTCACCATTGCTTTCTTTCTTCTTTTTTTTTTTAAAGATGTTTGCTCTTTCTCATGTGTAATAATGTGCTTTTTTATTCACATTCATTTAGAAACTCGGCATTCAGAGAATAACTACTAAGTGAAGAGCACTCTGCAGGACCTAGAGGAGAGAAGTTGAAGGTCATATCCTCCAAGGTGTACAACCTTATTGAGAAAGTAAGATTAAAGGAAGGAGTGAAAAATTTATAAATTACACATGAAAGCTAGATTTTTTTTCAGACTTATTTGTACTTCATATTTTAATAAGTAAATAAAATTTACCACTTTCATTCTCAAAATCTAACAAATATATGACAAGTATTTATCATGCCCAGTGCTACGTATAAAGCTAGTCTGAGGCCTTTGAGTCATCTCTTACTACTTTTAGGTTATATACATTTTACCTACCAAATAGCAATTCACTAACAGCCAAGCAAGAGGAAAAAAAAAACTGGAAATAAAGCCGGAAGTATACCAGTTGACCTCTTATTATAATGCCTAAAATGATTATAGTATGAAAGAACATTCACCCTATGGGAAATGATATTTGAAGATAATTTGTCTATTTAAGTTAAATATTGTAGCTTTAATAGGCACTGCAAATTTAGAAGCTACTCAGTTTCTGAGGCCAAGCAACAGACTGGTAACCTGCATTATTTTTCAAGCAAACTTTTATAGCTTAACTAATCATAATGATGATAGCTTTTTCCATTTAGAGGCATAATCAGATTTTTTTCTAAATGTATTACCCACATTGGTTGTATATCCTTGTTTCAAAGGAAGAGTTAGCTTCCTTTTATTTTAATTATATTCTCCTCCTATCAGCACAACACTGTCAATACTAATATGTTTGATGAATTGAATTAATTTGAGCCTCCTAACCTTCTGAACACCCTTTGCTCAGCTGGTCAGTAAAAAATAATGATGACAAATAATCTGGAGTGTGCACAAAAATATATGTATCCACTCACACACATCTATGAGTTTCTAGTTCTGAGGACAGTCCTTAAATTATACTATCATAAAAACAATAGCTAGAAAATGTTTTGTTTTGTTTCACTAAAACTTAAAACATCTTTGCATCAACAAAGAATCTAAGTAGATTAAATCTCATTCTCAGGGTGAAATGCAAGAAATACTGAAGCAAAAGCCAAGGGCTGCAATGAATAAACAAAATGCTCCTAGTTGTTAGAATGGTAAGATTAGGAATTAATTAAATTTTTTTTCACTATTTTATCTCTAAAAAATATAATTTTATATCTCTATGAAAATTGAAACACTGTCAGTTTTATTTTTTTCCTATGTCAAACTAACCAATGTTCTCAAATAAAGAAAACTATAATTTTTCTTAGGAAAAGTAAATCACTCTTCACACTAAAATAATACTAGATATAGTTTATATAACAGAAAGGACGTACACTCTCTAAAGTACTGAATGTTTTAAAGCAATTAATGATAAACTATATATAGATATTTATCTATAAAATAGGCTCTAAAGCCAGTAGAAAACACATACTAACACCAGAGTTACAGCTACAGAGTTACAGGCCAGCTTTGCCGGTTATTTGGGATAAACCTATATTTGTACAATCATTGCACTAATATAGCTTCTAGTTTTTATTTATTAAAGACCCAATTAATTTGTAGAAAACATATGCAAGAGAACCCCAATTCCAGAGTGCTTGAGATTCAAATCTCAAGTTATTGATGTCTGAAAATCACTTCAGAAGGTATGCTTTCTTTTTTAAGTCAGAAATCTATAATTATTAAAACCTACTTTGAAATAAAATATTATTTACTAAACAATTTGTGGCTGGCCCATTGTCTTCAGTAAGGACACATAAGCAATTTATTAATTTGTAAGGTTTTTGAGATGGAGAAATATTAAATGATTATAAATAAAAAATATAATCTAATAATGTATCTTGGCAATTATATGAAAAATGTAAATAACCAAACTACTTAGGCACTATTCATTACAACGTAGAAAAACTTTATGTAACCATTCATTACATCTGAGTAATAATAATGATTATAATGACAAAAATTCACTAAAAGTTTTTTTTAATATTTTTTTTATTTTATTGATTTTAGACAAAGGAAGAGAGAGGGAGAGAGAGAGAGAAACTTCAATGAGAAAGAACATCAACTGGCTGCCTACTGCATGCCCCCTACTGGGGATTTGGCCCACAACCTGGGCACACGCCCTGACCAGGAATCGAACTGGCGACTTCTTGGTGTATGGATTGACACTCAAACATGGAGCCACACCAGCCAGGATCGTTGAAAGTTTATTATTAATCAGGAAAGCAAGCTGGAGGGTGGGCAAATGTCTGATGTATGTACACCCACTCATCACATTCTTTATCTTTGGGCAAGTAAAATGTTTTGTCATTTCCCTCAAGAAGCCTTAACTAATTACCCCCATTCAATAACTACCAACTGTGCAGAGTAGGTTTGAAATCGAAACACATTTCAATCTGTTAGTTGCTTTATATATATATATATATAATTTTTTTTATTAAGAAATGTCATTACCTGGCCTTTGCTGGTTTGTCTCAGTGGTTAGAGCATTGGCCCATGAACCAAAGAGTCGTGGGTTTGATTCGGTCAAGGACACATACCTCGGTTATGGTTCGATCCCCGGCACTGGTCGGGGTCATGCGGGAGGCAACCAATTGATGTGTCTCTCTCACATCGATGTCTCTCTCTCTCTCTCTCCTTCCCTCCCACTCTATCTGAAAGATCAATGGAAAAATATCCTTGGGTAAGAATTCAAAAAAAGAAAGAAAGAAATGTCATTTCCTGGATTTTACAAATGAGGAAACTGAGAAGCACTGTGGCTAAATTAAACCCCCAAACTCATAAATGTGGAAAATGTAAAGCTGCGATTCAGCCCAGGACTGCCTGACCTCAGAGCACACGGCACAGCTGGGGCAGAGCAATCACAAACTTTCCAACTCTCCAGCTCAGGTGAAAATTACATCCTCTTTCTTACTCCAAGAAAATTGTTTTCTAGTTTGTGATACATTGGCCACGGAGTTCATTTCACTTTGCCTTGGGCTTATCTGCTGAATTAAAGGGATGAGGAAGGGAATAACAATCCATGGATGACCTTAAAAATGCTGCCGCTGCATATGGTACTCAATTCTTAAGGGGGAAATACTTAGTAAAGAAGATGTATTTTTATTCTAAGGTTAACTTCAACACAAAAACAGTCTATAAAAGTGGCGATAAAAATCAAGATGCAACGCCTAAAATGCAAGAAATGATTGTATATGCATTTAACTGTGTGTACATTGATAACTCAATAAAGGTTTCAGCAACAAACAAGTATTGCTGTAACCCTGGCCCTGACGGGGGAGGGGCTTCACATCTCTGGTGTCCACTTCGAAGGAGGAGTCAGAACACTCCTTTGATGGATAAGGAGGACAGCTCCGGAATGAGAAATGTCTTGCAGGAGGAGTTAGGAGCCCTATCCGAAAAGGTTGGCATGGCCCATGGTTTTCTCCCATTGCATCCAGCTGCCTACCAAACAAGGTTTATTATTTGTTAAGTACCTACTAAGGTCTTTAGTGTGTTACCTTATACTAAACATTATGCCTACACTGTAATGAATATCTGTCTCGTTTCCGAATGAAGTGACTGTTGCTCACTGAGCTGAAGTAACTCTGTCAGTGTTCAACAGGAGCCAGCGCCGCAGTCAGGATTCGGATCTGAGTTCTCCCTGACTCTTTCTACTATACCACTGCCTAAATGCTATAAAAAATAACTAGAGAGGGCATACACCAACTGGATAAAGTGCTGTCAGTGGGTTCAGTTGTAGGAGAGAATGATATATGTGTATTACTTTCAGCTTGATTAAAATATTAAAATCATAAAAATTCCACGAGGGAAACCGTCACAGGAAAGAAAGTGCAGTAAATTCAGTAAGTAAGGAAATGAAGACACTCGGTCGGAAATGGGTGTAGGGAGAGGGTTAAGTCATGTTCTCTGGTACTGTAAGTCTTCTTAACTTACAATTAAAAAAAAAAATGTTTATAGTACCCAGAGGAAAAAAAGCAATGATGGCTATGTTTCCTTCTCATCCTGCAACAAATAAAAATGACATAATAGAGGCCCTTTCGTAAGAGTGAGATCTTCTGTGCAATGATGTAGTGGTCAGGTTTATCACCCAGATTTATTTCCGATTCACTCACAGACAAAAGGGATTTGGATGTCTCCAGGTTGGCTTCAGGCAGATATAAACCAGTTTCAGATGTAAAACAAATAATGTCACTCTTCCTCCCCAAAGAGCCCGCATCTAAATAACCCAGCAAAGTTTACTCCTTAATGGAAAAATCCTGGACTACTGATGATGTAATAGTTCAGATCCCACTGATTCTCCTGTCCCAGGTTCCTGGACAGCAGCGTGCAGATCAAGAGGAGAGAATGCAGTGGTACACAGTGCCCATATTTGCCAGTTTTTCCTTTTGTTTCTCCTGCCTTTGCTCAAGACACTACATTTCTATATTAAGATTAGGTTTATTCATTTTTTTTTCAGTTTCATTGAGATATAATGAACATATAGCACTATATAAATTTAAAATTTCCACATAATGACTTGACAAATACAAGATGCCCCTAAAAATGTAGACAGGGTGTCTGTAGATTCGATTACATTTGAAAGTAAAATGTATTTTAATAAACGCTGGCTTTGTAATTATTTAAAATTGTGTATACACTTTTGGGG